AAGACAATATGCAGAACAGATGGTGAATGCTGAAGGAATGGTTTGCAAGTAACATAGAATTCCCTCCTAAAGTATTTCTGCTGAATATTAAACAGGTAGTTTGCCAGGTCAGATAATTATTGAACTGGGATTAGTCACAATGTGATGCTATTCATAAATTATAATTTAAGCTACTTACATCTTAGTGTAAGAGGATTCATGCCCAACAATCTGACTACAGATATGTCTCTGGCAGGGATGAAATCCACTTACCTTCACTACTCGTTCGCAAATGTGAGTGCGCGTGTCTCCTTCATGCATGCATAGAGCTTTCTGCTCATGCGCAGAGGGTAAAAAATGGGACATGATAACATCTGGACAGGTGGGCAGAGCCTCCTGCTGCCGGCGCTACCGGTTCACCTGAGCCAGATAGAACCAGCTGAATTTCACCACTGGTTTCTGGCCAAAAACTTTATTACTTTAAAAAAAAAAACCTTTTAATTACCGTATTTTCCAGAGTATAAAACGCACCGGAATACAAGACGCACCTTAGTTTTGGGGGAGGAAAATAAGAAAAAAGCTGATTGGTGAGTGGATCTCCCAGAATACCCCCAATCAGCTGTTTCTAGAGGTGCATTTTAGCAACAGTTTCCTTGGTTGTGACCTCTGTGCCTTGCTTTTTTTTCTGCCTCTGAAACTTCTGAAACTCAGAAAAAACTTTTTTTTTCTGCCTCTGAAAGCCACCAAAACAAAACTTCAGAAAAAAAGTTTTTTTTCCTGAAACTTCTTTCAGAGGCTTTTTTCAGCCTCTGAAATTTCCATTTGTGAGGTGGGGCGGGGCTACATTCAGAGTATAAGACGCACCCAGATTTTCACCCTCTTTTTTGGGGGGAAAAGTCTTATACTCCAAAAAATATGGTAATCATTTTAATTTAAAATCTTGTACTAAATGGAAAGACATTCCATGAGTGCCCACAACAAGTTTTTAAAATGTAGACATGGGCCAAGTTGTCTATTCTTACCTCAGAGAATGTTTATATATGTTTGAGTATGTCAACTAATGAATTTAAACTAGTTCACAAAGGTCTCCTCATGAAGCATAATAAAATAGTGTGGGAACTAATGGTTTTCCAGATATTATTAAACAAAAATCCTCAGCACTTCATTGTTGACCTGTTATATGAAGCTGTTGGAAACAGTGTTTCAGAAATGTCACAGGTTCCTCACTATTGTGATGGAACCAATCAGTTCCTTGGAACCCCATCCTGAAATGTTTGCTATATCCCATTCCTTTTATATCCTTTTGCAGGTTCAGGTGTCTTGTCTGACGACTGATTAGTGGCTCTTCCTCCTGTCCTTCAAGGTGATTCCCACATACTATTACTGATAATGGTGACAGTCTCCTATTCTTTGCTGTAGCTGCACATTGTATATTCCTAAAGTGTCTGTAATTTAGCATCATGCTTGGAAATTGGCAAAATATATTTATTTAAAAGGAAAAGTTTGTTTAACTCCCAAACACTTTACTTTTACCATGGAATAATGCTTTTACATTTGCTTATGGGAATAGAGGTAAATTAGTTTTTTTCCCCATTTAAACCTCATCTGTAGGACAGGATGGTTTATATTTAGGACCATGTCTCTTTTGTATATGCATAAAGAGGGAAAGAGAGACCCAGTATGTAAAGTGTAAGACAGAGGTGTGGAAAAGAGAGAGGCAGAGATATACAATTTGCATGCCATTCAAACTATCTATTTCACAGTAGGTGACAGCACCTAGCTGATGTTTTTCACTGATCATGGAAAAGCTAGGCAGGATCTGACCAGGAAAGTAACATTTCTAAAGGAGGGAATGGCAAAGTATTTCCATATTATTGCCAAGAAAATGATGTGGGATAAGTCACATACTCATCAGGTATTGAACCCCTCTCAAGAGAAACTTCGCCCTTTATCATTTATATGACATTATAATGTGCGCCCACTTGGAGAAAAAAAATTGATACCTGTAATAAAGTACTTCGTAAGAGAACTTAACTAGGGGAATAACCCACTGAATGCAATATAAAGGTAAAGGTTCCCCTTGCACATATGTGCTCCTGACTCTAGGAGGTGGTGCTCATCTCTGTTTCAAAACCGAAGAGCCAGCGCTGTCCGAAGACGTCTCCATGGTCAGGTGGCTGGCATGACTAAACACCAAAGGCACACGGAATGCTGTTACCTTCCCACCAGAGGTGGTCCCTATTTTTTTACCTGCATTTTTACATGCTTTTGAACTGTTAGGTTGGCAGAAGCTGGGACAAGTAACTGGAGTTCACCTGGTTATGCGGCACTAGGGATTTGAACCGCCGAACTGCCAACCTTTCTGGATCGACAAGCTCAGCGTCTTAGCCACTGAGCTACCACATCCCTGAATTCAAATATACATTATTATTTGCAATTTTAATTAATATGTGAACAGATATTCTCATTCTGATTGAAAACAGCATCTGCTTGTTGTTTATGAGACCTGCTGCAAACCAATTCTATAATGCTCGGGAAAAATGCATTACTATTTCATCAAATTCGCATATAAACAACCCAGATGTCAACTCACAAAGCATCCCTGGCCTGCTCTTGAGTTGCCATAGGCCAGGGGGGATGGGAAATTGGTGAAATTGTGCAGCAGCAAAAAACAGATGCACATTCCACACTTATCTCTCACAAGGCTGTATCCCAGGGATACTTACAGCAGTCAAAGGGGAGTGACCTCTACAACCCGCGATATTGCTCCATTGGCAAATGTGATTGATGACACACCCTGGGGCAGGTGTGAAATGCTACCATTTCAGGCCAGTTCACCTGAACAGGTAGTAAAAATGTTACTGGTTCACCCAAACTGGTAGTAAAAAAATGTGTTAAAAAGTTAAAAAATAGTTCCGATGATCAGCTGTGAATCAGCTGTCCTGCCCGATCATCGGAACTTGTTTTTTATTTTTAAAGCATTTTTTATTACCTATTGCCCAGACCAGTATTTTTGTGTAAAGTGTGATAGTTCGTTTTTGAGGTCTCTGTGACTCTGTGAGATTCCTGCTTGTTGCAGGGGCCATTTTGTGTGAAGTCCAGCTGCTTTTGCATTGTGTGTGAATCAGTTGTGTAGCTTTTGGAGAGGAGAGGAAGGTGTGTTGGATATATTTGCCATCTTTATTATTTTTATTTGTAAAAATAATAAAGATGAGATATAAATACAGAGCCGAGGTGGCACAGTGGTTAGAGTGCAGTACTGCAGCTACTTCAGCTGACCGCTAGTTCAGCAGATCAGTGGATCAAATCTCACCTGCTCAAGGTTGACTCAGCCTTCCATCCTTCGAGGTAGATAAAATGAGGATCCAGATTATTGGGGGCAATATGCTATTTAGTATACTGTCTTTGGTGTAAGCCGCCCAGAGTCCTCGGAGAGTGGGTGGCATAGAAATATGACAAACAAACAAACAAACAAACAAACAAACAAACAAACAAACAAACAAACAAATAAATAAATAAATAAATAAATAAAATATATAGAGAGACAGGCAAATGACACAGTGAAAAATATTGCCATGCATATTGACGTGAACAATCACATTTGGTCTAAGGATGCTGAGTGTTGCGTTGGGGATACACATTCATAGTGATATTGTTTCTTTCTTTCATCCTTTGCTATGAATCTCTGTGGATAGCCATAATCCCCTGCCTCTCCTTACCCCTGCCCCACTTGGATTTTCCTGACTTCATCTTGTAGTTACTGCCAGATATATATTTTTTTTGAAAGGTTCTATTTCTGCAAAAACGTGTGATCATGATCTTTTCTTTTCACAGTGAGGAAGCTACAGCTGCTGGTTCTTCTAAAGTCCCTTAAGCCAAGCAAAATGGACAGGAGTAGATGGATAGGCCTTACAAGTGTAAATGAAGGCCAGCAGCTGATCTGCTTTTTAAAAAGAAACACTTTTCACTTTCAATGGAACTGCAACACAAGCTTTTTTTTTCTTCAAGAACCTAATTTTTCTGAGACAGTGGAATATAGGGGCAATTACATGTCTTACTGTTTATGTCAGCAGCTTTTGCTTCGGGTAGACATCTCTTTCTCCCTTGCCTGCCATTCTTCCATTTCTTTTCTGGGGCACAAAACAAAGTAGTGCCATTCAATCAGTAAAAGTCCAAGCTTTTGAACCACCCTCCCACACCAAGGGTTTGTCTGTAGATCAAACACGATTAGAGGGAATGGCATCTTTTACATAAGAAGGGGCCTTTGCTCTGACTTTTCTACTGAGAGAACTATAGAATTATTTGGACCTCAGGATTGGATCTATTTAGAAAATTGGCAGTAAGTCAGGAAGGGCCAGGTAAGTGGGGAAAGAGCAAAGAGCAGATATATTAAAGCATGAAATCACTTGGAGATGGAGAGCCACATGAGGTACAGGAACTGCAGGATATCCTTTTATTTAGAGACAGATGACTTAGCAGCTGCTACTTTTTAATCTGTTGTCAGCACTGTGTTAGAGGATGCCCATGAAGAACCATTCACTGGATATATTGTAGTGCTCTTACAGTTAGCATGCTAGCTAAACTGCCTCTGTAATGCAATTATGGCTTTGAACTATTGTACTAAAGTATGGCTATATAAAAGCATAACATAATAGAAGTATTTTAGATCATAGCTATTAAAAATGTAGTAGAGGCTTTGCAAACATGTTGTTTCAAACTGATATCCAAATCTAGACATGAAAGATAACCATGAATACTGTTAACGTCAAAGGGAACCTTTATTTCCTGTGATAATTTTGTATAGAGCTGATCTTGGTGTCCCTTGCAGAATTATGTTCTCCTGCAGCTTTTTCTTGTCAGGTTAACATTTTGAAACTGTAGATGACTGTATACCTCAAAGGCAAATCTCAAAAGGCCTCTATGCCTAAGAATTTGAGCATGATGATAACTGTGGACTGCCAGATATTTGTGTTCTTGTGCAAAGTCCTTTAAAGAAGCAGAGATTGATGGATGTAGGAACTTCCAAAGTATATCAGTGTCATCTGCTTTAAAATAGATAGTACAGAGGGAAATATCAATAACATCAGAATGTGCGCAAGAAAGCAGTCCTGTTTGCAATGCTATTCCAGAATTTGACAGCCATGATGTTGACTTAGGCCCCAAGGAGTTTGACTCTGTAAAAAAGAGACATTGATTTATATTGTTTGAAAGGTAGTAAAAGGTCAAAATAGTCTTCTAGATTCTTTGACACAATATAAAAGCTGAAACTGATTTCTTGGTTAACAGTGGGCTCTCTTTTAGGTCATAAATTCTTGTGCTTAGCTTTAAACTTGTGCATGGCTTCTAAGAAAATGTTTCTCCTAAATACAAAATATAGCTTTTTTCTGTAATGGCTTTGCTGTTTGGAGAGGATGAAAGTTGTAGAACAATAAATCGCAAAAACACCAATTTGGTAAAGACTGAGAAAGAGCATATTGTTTTGTTGTCTCATTTATTTGTGAAAATCATTTGTATGCTTCATTCATCTGCCATAGGACACCCCCTTGGAGAGGGGGGGGCACAGTATATTTTAGAATAATTATCCAATGTATTAATATAGATTCCTCAGAGAATAAATATCATTGGGAATTATATTAGATTTACATATTATGTTTCTCTATTATCTCCCTTTTGAGTAAATCTGGGGAACATGTATCAGTTTTCCAGGATTGGTTGTATGTATTTCTGAGCCTGCAGATTTCTGAAAAACTAATAATGTTTTAGAATAGTTCAAATTTAAAATTGAAACTTGTTCACTTTAGAGGAATACTATATTAATATTAGTCTGTATTAAATTTGTCCAAAACTTCAATTCTGAATTTGTCCAAATCTGATGAAACTGTACTTCACTACTTTATCTTTTTTTTTGAGGGGTAGGAAAATTTTATTTTATATAGTAGAAATGCAGGTCATTATAATTATTCAAACTTAACTGATAACTGTGTAGGAAGGGAACACCACCAAGACAGTGTCAAGACCTCATCAACTCTGAAGGGGAAAACCCAGACATAAGGAAATGACCTTCCCAAAATAGAACACATAGATATCAGAGTCAGATAGAATTAAAAAGGAAATCCCAGGAAACGATACACAAAGACTCTAGACAAGATCAGGAAAGAAACTATTAACAGCAGAATAAAACAAAAGGTATGGCAGGGGATTAACCAAGGAAAAGATTTAATCAATAACCCAAAGCAATATGATAAGAGTCAAACCGGGGGTAAGGGCTTACCAAATAATAACATGATCATCTTAAGGGAGGAAGCAAATAATGAATCAGGAGAAAACAAAAGAATACCAAATCAGATAACACAAACACCATCTAGTCTGAAGTAGGAAACGATCAGAATAAGAAAAACAGAGCACACACACAAAGGAAACATAGACAAAAGTAACAATAGAAAACAAAGGATTCCCTTTGATCAAAAGGGTATAAGAATGTATGCTTACCTGGTAAAGATGTCAGCTCACCCAGGAACGCTGGTCTGCGACATCGCTCGATCTGACTTCCTGAAAAATAAAGAAAACTTGCTTTCACGCAGCTTGCTTCTCTCGTGGTTTTGCGCGGCGCCGGAACGCTCTCCCAGCCGGGAAATTCGAATCCTCGGGGGGGGGAACCTCTCCTCCCTTCTAACAATTGGCGATCACGAAGAATCCCAGCCAACCCAGCCACCGGACGGGGCCTGGAGATTCATCCCAGCCGGCACGGACCACTTTGTCCAGGGAAAAATCCACGGACCCTGCCCGGAGGTGTCGGGTAGTAAAGGGAGTTTTGAGCCTTTGCCTCAACAGCTGCTTGAAAGCAGGTAAGTACCGCTTTAAATTACAATAAAATCCCTAGAATACGGGGCGTATGAGAGTGTGTGAGTGAGTGCGTGCATGTGGGATTTCACCTGGACAGCAGCCTGATCCTACCCCTTTGAACGATCCCTAGCCGCACCTCTGCCTACTGCTAGCTCCACCGAGCCGTGACCGGTAGAACAGAGAAAGCAAGGGGGGATCGCCAAATGTAGGACTTTCTGCCTAACAGGGAACGAAAGCCGAGCAAATAGAAGCGCGTGGAAGGGGGAAATAAATTGCGAGAGGGAATCCCAGTGTACGTCTCAGAAGGTGCAAAGCCCAGACATGGAGATAGTGTGAGGAGGGGCCAGTACTCACTGCTGGGGTCAGCAGGTCCTCCCAGATCCCCTTTTCTGGATCTGAAAACTGTGGCGAGTTTCCTACGGAAGGGGCCCATACTTCGTAAGGGAATCGAAGTCCTTCCCAGAGCTTTTTCTCTGTAAACTTGAGGCGGGCCACCCGGCTAAGTCGAAGTGATCCTTCAGGTGAAAAGACAGGGTCATGGGTAGCGGTAGTTCGCGGGTGGCAGGAACCCCGATTGGAGAGTTGCTCGAGGCCTAGGACGCCAGGCAGATGCCCATTTTAAATGGCATGGATCAAAAACGAGCGGAAAAATTGTGTCAAAAGTGGGCTTTGCTTAGAGACGAAAACGGGAAACAAATTTGGCCTGATAGCGGTACCTTCGATATAAAAATCCTAAAAGCACTTAGACCAGACTAAAGCCCAGTCACATAACCTATTGGTATTGCTGGGCTGAACTAGCTAGGAATAAGGAATCCTTCATAGAAAATAACACACCTAAGATAGAAACAGATAGAGAAGCGAAGATAATGGCCCCCTTAATAAGCAGACCCATATCAGGGAGACAGAGGGGCGAAACTGACTACATTCTAACACACACACCCTTTTCGGCCTCAGATTTAGTAATCTGGAAGAAAGATGCCCCAACCTTCAGAGCAGACCCCCAAACAGTGATCAGGACCCTAAAAACCATTATAGATAGCCACAATCCATCATGGGGGGACATGAACCAACTACTGCATGTTTTTTTGACAAAAGATGAGTTGTTAAAACTTTTTGAAAAAATGGATCAGATTGCTAAACAACCGGTCATAAGGGTCCCGGGTCAGGTTACCCGCCCCAGGGTCGCCTGGCCCCTTGAGAACCCAGAATGGGACTATAACGATGACACCCACTGGGGCACTTATACCAGGGCAAAACAAAACCTACTGGAAGCCCTGGAAGAGATCGGGAAAAAACCCCTGAATTGGTCAGAATTCCAGCGAGTTACCCAGAGGGACCAAGAGAACCCCGATGCCTTCTGGGTCAGGCTTATAGAGGCAGCCACAACTTACGCCCACCTGGATGTGAACTGCCAGAAGGACCAGAGGATTTTAGCCTCGGCCTTCGTTGACCAATCTGCCCGAGATATTAAAGAACACTTTCACAGAATAGTCTCTAACTGGTCCACCTTAGATATCTCGGAATTGCGCAGAATTGCGAATTTCGTTTATGACCAGAGAGACAGACTCAAGGAGGAAGAAAGGGAAAGGAAAGAATTAGAGAAAGAAAGAAGGAAAAGGACAGAAAGACAGGAAGAAATGCAGATATTCGCTGCCATACACAGTAACAACAGGCAAACCCAAGGGCGGTTTCCCAGTAATTGGCAACGACGTATTAGGTGCGAGAAGACAGGATGCCCAGTGTATAAATGCCGCCACTGTTTCCGATGCGGGGAATTAGGACATTCAAGCCGAGACTGTAACCAGCCCCCTCCCCGCCGACAAACAGGACCCCTCCGAGACTTTAGACATAGGGACAACCCATTTAATCAAGACAGCCAGAGAAACCATTACCGCAGGGAACCACCAACGGCACCCCTACCTCCAAACACCTCATTTTATCACAACGAACGAACTAATCCAAACAATAATCATTGGGAGATAGAAAGGGAAAACAACCCTCAAGCTTTATGACTAGGAACAGACGAGGGTGAATTCTCAGCTACCCTCCAAGGGCTTGCGATTCCCCTAAGGAATGGTCTGGAGGGAGAGCCCATGATTTCCCTCCTCATAGGGGGAAAAGAATATGACTGTTTGGTAGACACCGGGGCCACCGCCTCTTTAATTGTCAAACCACCACACAGAAACTCAGTAAAACCTGGAGCTCATGATAAAATAATGGGAGTGGGAGGAACAGCTATCCCGGTAGAATACACAAACGATGTAACAGTTGAAGTAGGTCCCTTTTCATTGAAACATTCTTTCACCATATGCCCCCAATCTCCGGTCTCTCTTCTTGGAAGGGACCTCCTATGTAAATTAGGAGCAACCATCAGGTGTGGGAAAGGGGGCCTTGCCTTAGACATACCAGGAAGGAAAACCTTTCTACTAGCCACTCAAAGCACACTATTACATGCAGATTTGGCAACCCTACCTTCCTCTTTATGGGGATGGGATGCGACAGAGGTAGGACTCCTTAAAGGAGCCACACCAGTTACGATCAGAGTAAAACCAGGACCACCCCCCTGCATACCACAGTATAAAATCCAGGCTGAAGCCATCCAGCCCATACGCAAGCTGATAAACGCTATTTGGAGCAGGGAATTTTGCGCAAATGCACCTCCCCATGCAATACCCCAATTTTTCCTGTGAAGAAATCCACAGTGGACAAAGATGGAAACCCAATATTCAGATTTGTTCACGATCTAAGGCTAATTAATTTGCATGTAATTCCCCGAGCGCCGATCGTACCGAACCCGGCCACGATAATTACGGAGGTGCCGGCTTCAGCTACCCATTTTACTGTTGTAGATTTATGCTCCGCTTTCTTTAGTATTCCCGTGGACCACGCTTCCCAGTACCTTTTTGCTTTTACCTGGGAAGAACAGCAGTACACGTGGACCCGCCTCCCTCAGGGCTACACAGAATCCCCCACCCTATTTTCCCAGATCCTGAAGGCAGACCTCTCTTCCATCACACTGCCAGAAGGATCAACCTTAGTCCAATACGTAGATGATCTCCTGCTAGCCTCTAACAGTGAACAGGCATGTAAAATTGACACCTTTCACTTGCTGAAATCCCTGGCTGAGAGGGGACACAAAGCCTCCCCCTCAAAACTACAATACCTAAAAAAGGAAGTAACATACTTAGGTTATATCATTGGCCCGGGGTGAGGAAATTGGCTCCAAGCCGAGTAGAAACCATATTATCAATGAAACGCCCCCACACTAAACGACAAGTCAGAGCACTCCTGGGGGTTCTGGGATTCTGCCGCCCCTGGATCCCGTCTTTTGGGGAAATGGCGAAACCTTTAATACAATTAACAAAACAGGACATGCCAGACCCCATAACATGGACTAAATCTCTAGAGCAAAACCTCTCAAGAATTAAAAAGACCCTGGCTTCGGCTCCCACGCTAGGTCTCCCAGACTACAACAAGCCTTTCACCCTATTCATTCACGAAAAACTAGGCATCGTGTCTGGAGTCCTGACCCAGCGCTTCGGTCCAGGGCAGAGACCAGTCGCATACTATTCTGTTAGACTAGACCCGGTAGCCCAAGGGACACTCCCATGCTTAAGAGCAGTAGCGGCAACCGTTGAAATAGTAAAAAGAACCAAAGATCTCGTTCTAGGGCAACCTCTGACATTAAAAGTGCCTCATGAGGTTTTTGCCATTCTTCTAAAATCACAGACCCAAGCCTTCACGCAACAACGCTTAGCACAATACGAGGCTGAATTGTTTACTTCAGACCACATAACATTTGAAAGATGTAGCACCTTAAATCCTGCTACCTTGCTTCCCACGGATCAAACAGATGATCACTTACATGACTGCCTCCACCTAATACAGGATGCAGAATTGCCTCGCCCAGATTTAACCGACACCCCCTTGCAAAACCCAGACTTAGAAGTTTTTACGGATGGCTCTTCCTTCATTCATGAGGGAAACAGGGTTGCTGGAGCTGCGGTAGTATCTCTTTATGAGATCATTTGGGCAGGACCACTCTCCGCCTGTTTTAGCGCCCAAGCTGCTGAACTCATTGCTCTAACGAAAGCCTGTGAAGCAACTAGGCATCTATCTGCTAACATCTATACAGACTCCAAATATGCATTTGGAGTCTGCCATGCTACTGGAGCTTTGTGGAAACAGAGAGGGTTCCTAACATCAGCAGGAAAACAAATTGCACATGCCACCCAAGTCTCCCAACTATTACAAGCCATCCAGCTACCGAAAGCCCTTGCAATCATCCATTGTAGAGCCCATCAAACAGATGATTCCATGGTCACTAAAGGAAATCACTATGCTGATACAACAGCCAAGTGGGTAGCTACAGAACCCCTTCCCTACAACATCGCTGCCCCAACAATGAGAGTTGATCCTGAAATTCAGTACAGGGACTTCCTAGAGCAGGGAGAAGCACAGATGTGGGAGGATAAATTAGGGGCAACATTTTCAGATGGGTTTTGGAGAGTCCCAGATGGTAGACCTATTGCCCCACGCCGCCTCATACGCTTAATCTGTCAGAGGCTACATGCAAAAGGTCACTGTGGGACCCAGGCTATAGTGGATGCTGCTAGGAGAGTATGGCATGCACCAGGTATATACACACAGGCAACCAGAGTAACCAGCAGTTGCCAGACATGCCAAGCCAACAATAGCACATCCCGAAAAGCCATCTATGAGGGAGGGAGGCCATGGGCACAAAGACCATTTGAGGCAATACAAATGGACTATATCCAATTGCCCAAAGCCAATGGATACCAGTATGCCCTCGTGTGTAGGGACCAGCTGACACACTGGGTGGAGGCTTTCTCATGCCGCCATGCCACAGCCCTGGAAACTGCCAGACACCTCATTAAAGATGTAGTGCCAAGATTCGGTGTGCCACGAATCTTAGATACAGACAGAGGGACACATTTCATAGCACAAGTCCTAACATACATATACCAAGCACTAGGCATAACACAAAATCTCCACTGCCCGCGTTCTCCACGTTCGTCGGCAGGGACAGAACGTGCGAACCACGAGGTGAAAACACTATTAAGCAAGCTTTGCCAGGAGACATACCTCTCCTGGCCACAAGTCTTGCCCATTGCCTTATTCTATATAAGGACGAGACCGAGAAGGGACATGGGAATCTCCCCTTTCGAGATTCTGTTTGGCCGTCCACCTGACACGCTATAAGGCCTTGACCCACAGTCTCTCAGCCTGGACAGGGGGGATATGGTCCTTTCTTCATATCTTTCAGCCTTACATAGGAGACCACAGGAGCTGTGGACACAGAGTGCCCTGACACAGATGCTGCCCCTGGAGGAAAACCTGCACCCGTTCGAGCCAGGTGATAGCGTGTGGATCCAATCCTTCACAAGGACCTCACCACTGCAACCGAAGTGGACAGGACCCTACCAAGTTCTGCTAACAACCCAGACAGCTATCCGAGTAGCAGAGAAGGACAGCTGGATACACTAGACACACGCCAAACCTGCAGTGGTGGACAACAGCCCAGAGATCCCTCCAATCAGGCTGAAGAAAAACCCAGGCACAGAAGAATGGACCTTGCAAGCATTTTTTGAACACAACGAACTTGACCAGTAATATCACCTTTAACACCATTTTGGTTATCTGGATACACATATTTACTTTTTTTTTCTCTTTTTTTTTTATTATTAGTATTTGTTTAAGGGGGGGGGATCGAATTGTAAAATGGGAAAACAAAAATCTATTGCAAGCATGCTATGTAACCTTTATGGTATATTGTTAATTGTAACTCAAGTAACAGGGTTCCTAGAACCAAACCTTATCCCAGAAAAAGGGAACATCTGGGAATATCTGGCAAAAGAGATACTGAACACCACAGAATTTTGTTTAGCCGGGGGGAAATCAGTAAAAGACATTTTAAAAACATGTTTAATAGGAGTAGCAATAGGGCCACAGGCTATACTCAATCACACATGGCTTAGACATTTCCCTATCACACAACCATACTCAACCATTTATGAGTGGGGAAATATTTCTATAACAAAAGATCTTGACATGTACACCCTCCATGTGGCTGCTGTCTCTGCCTCATCCTCGTGTTTTGAAATCTATGGGTGCAACAAATTGGGAAATGGAAATTGCATCAATTTAAATAATACTGAATTGAGATGCAATAATACAGAGCAGATCCCTTTTTCTTATAGCTACTTGAGGCTCCCTCATGGCTGGTTCATACTGTGTGGACTACAAGCCTATTCATATCTGCCAGCCAACTCAACAGGAGGGCCATGCACCTTAGGGAAACTGACCATGCTAATGCCATCCCTACAGAGACGACACAGGAGAGCTTTTTATTCCCTAGAGGCAGACTGTGACTCTCAAGTAAGTTTACTCACTAAAGCAGAATATGTTTCATTGGCTGTTTCGCTAGTGGGAGTGCCAGGACTAGCAGTCCGGAATTCCAGAAACCTAAATAGCTTGGCATGTACCCTAGCAAAAAGTTTAAATTCGACTTCCCACGCATTGGATGTGCCCTAAACAGAGAATTGAGACAAGTTAGGGAGGCCACCCTTGAGAATCGTGCAGCGATTGATTATTTATTACTAAAACACCATCATGGCTGCGAAGAATTTAAAGGGTTGTGCTGTTTTGACTTGGAACAAAACTCAAAACTTGTAGACACAGAAGTCAACCACCTAGAGGAACTGGCACAAAACATTGGCCATAGCCAGCCATCCCTAGATCTTTCTTGGCTTTTTTCTTGGTTACCAGACTTCTCTTGGCTCAAAATCGCCCTAACAGGTGCGGTCACTATCTGTGTACTGGGAGGCCTTTTGTGTTGTCTCTGTCATTGCATCCCTCCCTGCCTTAGCTGCATAAGGGCATGTAAGCCAGATCTTCCCCAGAGAAAAGCAGGACATAATCAAACAGCTCTCATGATGGTCCAGATTGATCAGGAGTACCAGATCTACTCCAATTCAGAAGTAACCCAAGGGAAGGGGGGTGTGAGGGGGGTTAGGGAGGAGGGGGGGGAAAGGGGGAAAATTTGTATTTGAAAAACTTTTTCAATTAAAAAAAAAAAAGAAGTAACCCAAGGAACAGAAGACAAAGAGACACCCATTTAACACATGCACACACACAGAAAAGAGAGAAAAAGAAGTGGGGATTGTAGGAAGGGAACACCACCAAGACAGTGTCAAGACCTCATCAACTCATGAAGGGGAAAACCCAGACATAAGGAAATGACCTTCCCAAAATAGAACACATAGATATCAGAGTCAGATAGAATTAAAAAGGAAATCCCAGGAAACGATACACAAAGACTCTAGACAAGATCAGGAAAGAAACTATTAACAGCAGAATAAAACAAAAGGTATGGCAGGGGATTAACCAAGGAAAAGATTTAATCAATAACCCAAAGCAATATGATAAGAGTCAAACCGGGGGTAAGGGCTTACCAAATAATAACATGATCATCTTAAGGGAGGAAGCAAATAATGAATCAGGAGAAAACAAAAGAATACCAAATCAGATAACACAAACACCATCTAGTCTGAAGTAGGAAACGATCAGAATAAGAAAAACAGAGCACACACACAAAGGAAACATAGACAAAAGTAACAATAGAAAACAAAGGATTCCCTTTGATCAAAAGGGTATAAGAATGTATGCTTACCTGGTAAAGATGTCAGCTCACCCAGGAACGCTGGTCTGCGACATCGCTCGATCTGACTTCCTGAAAAATAAAGAAAACTTGCTTTCACGCAGCTTGCTTCTCTCGTGGTTTTGCGCGGCGCCGGAACGCTCTCCCAGCCGGGAAATTCGAATCCTCGGGGGGGGGGGGAACCTCTCCTCCCTTCTAACAACTGTCATTAGAGCTATCATTTTTTGGCAATTACTTTCTAAAAGAACTGTTCTATTTTTGCACCTTTATTTTTCTAGGACAAAAAATGTGATTTAAAATATTCATGAATTAAGTGTGTTTCAAACAGGGGAAAATATTGCTAGTTTGCTGTTGTACTCTGGCTCTTGAAGAGGTCTCTTCAAACAAAACACTTGCATGCTCTTGCAATCACAAACATTTGGACCAATACAAAGAAAAGTCTTCCAGCCTATTTCTCCTAGGTCATACATTTCTCTAATATTGTGTAGGAAGAATAATAAAACACCTCCCCTTTTATTTCTATGCCCCCAGAGAAGGCAAAGAAAAACCATCCACAGAAACTAAAGCAATCCTGCCTCACAGCCAGAATGGCCTCAAGTAACCTCAGTTAGAAGACTGAGACAGGCTGAATTGACAGGATTAAGTCAGAAAACACAAAGCCACACAGAATACATTCCCCACCTTTCCCCAAGGCTAGCCTTGGCCCTGATCACCCTCCAGGAAATCAATTAGGGACAATTAGAATACAGAAAGGCACATTAGTAATCTAATCAAATAACCCCACTAGGCATCACAATCTCAAAGGTCCAAAAGGGTATAAAAATCACTTTACTTCCCATGCCAGGTTATCAGCTGTCACAGAACTGATGCTGAGTCACTTCGCTTCTGAGACCTCCTTTCCTGCAGCCTGCTTCCAAATTCATTGGCTCTTGTGTCTTTCCTGACTTGGAACTGGACTGGATTTTAGTTCCAACAATTGCTTAACTGACATGAATCATAAGGTGTGTTGGTTTATTTCCACTGTTCCTTTCAAAAGTTGCTCAGCATACATTTATAGCTTGCCTCTAAAAATGGCCCAGTAAAAGATCCCTTCCAATTGCTACTTTTTAAAAATCTGTGTAGAAAGCTAATATTGTATATTTCTAATGATATTGTTTTAAATTTCAACCCTGCCAGTTTTTAAAGAATAAAGCATGGTAGAATATTTAAGTAAAGCGTAAGGTAAAAGCAGCTGTAAGTGTAAAATGGCTCTTATAAATTTATCCGTTCAAATATCAAAAGGTTTAGTTTTTAGCATTTTTTTAGTTTCATGTAACAGAGCCACTGTAACAAAGTTTGACTGAGTTAAACATTCAACTTCAAATTTCACTCAACTATTAATGATATTGGATGATCTTGCTAGAATCATTCACAGCTTGTTCAGCTTGCTTAAGGTGAAAAGATTTTGGTCTTATACATACCTGGGCATTTTATGGCTTGCAGGCCACATTCAGTCCTTTGACTGTCCTCATCCAACTCATGGTAGCAGGAGGTTGTGGCAAGGTTCAGCAGCAGGGAATGGTTGCAGGGGTGGTGGCTGTTAGATATATATTGATGGTCGTGCTCATTTGGTTCTATGAGGAAGCTTCAGGTTCAAAAAGTTGTTTTTATTATTTACAAATATATACATGCATATGATAATGAACAGGGTGTCCTGTTATATTTTTACCCTAACTGTATGACTCAGATGTTGAGAGGAGAGAGAAGATCACGTATTGTCTCTCTGAGAGATAGATGAGAGAGAGAGAAAAAGACAGGGAAGATGTCTATGTGGTTTCTGGGTAAGAGTCCAATAAAAGAGTTCATTGGCTGATATAGTCACATGTGATGTCTGTAAAGACTTAACCCCTTCTAGTCTCTGGTACATCATATGCAGGCAATATTCTGACAGTGGCGGCGGAGGGTGGGGGAAAGCGCCCCTCCACAACAGTCCCAGTTTCCTATATGTCCCATTGGAAAATTAATTGCTCATCTCTAATCTCATAGGATCTCTATGTTTTTTACTATGATTATACGGAGGGAATTATTGCCTCAAGTAGCAGATACTGAAGGTCAGGAGCTGCCCTGCTATCCTCAAATACTATGGAAGATTACCCTTATCAGGGTTTTTATTCTATGAAGTTTCCAACCTCCAAGGTCAGATGTGTTTTAATTTAAGATGGTAAGAGATTTTGATCTGATTTTTATATACTTATCAAGGCATCAATTCCTTATCATTTTGCCATTAAGCCCATTTTTCCTATTAAACCCCACTGTGTAAAGATTTCTCCTGTCCAGTCATGTCTGTCTGTCTCTTTCTTTTTCTTTCTTTCTTTCTTTCTTTCTTTCTTTCTTTCTTTCTTTCTTTCTTTCTTTCTTTCTTATATAAAATGCAAAAAATAAAAAATTGGTAGAAAAAATAGAGGAGGGAAGGGGAAGGAAAGAATGCAGAAAAGAAGGGAAAAGAAAGAAAAGGCGACTAGGCAGTAAAATAACATCCAACCTCAACTTTTTACTTTTACACAGTAGAATAAACTAGCCACTTCTATATCAATAAATCTATCTAATTGATAAAATCCAAAATCAAAGTTTCATTTTTTTTCCCACCTCAAGCACAGTCCAACACTAGGGGACATCTCTATTTCATATCCGAGGGAACCAGCATAATCTGAAGCCACTTCCATGGTTATGTGGATGGCCTGATTATATGCCAAGACATAAGGAATGCTGTTCTTTTCCTACCAAAGTGGTACTTATTTATCTTCTTGCATTTCCATGCTTTCAAACTGAAATGTTGTCTATTTATTAACTTCATAAACAAATGGTTAGTGACTCTAGGCATGAAAAGTGCAATACCAATCAGTAACGCATAAAGGACGTAACTTTTAGTAAGCTTTAAAATGTTATGAATGTCACAATATGTCACCTGCTGACACTTCAATTTAGGTATATGACGAAAGAATTAGCAGGTAATTGAGCAAACAAACTAAAATGTATAAAATAGCTATTTAACGATAGATGTCAGTTTATATGGATGTTAAAATAAGCTTCCTACCTAGACCTATCAATAAGTTCTGATTATAACCCTAAAGTGGAGAATTAGGAAAATTCACTATTGATTCAAGGAACAATAACAATGTCAAAAATGACAACTAAATACAGATGAAAAAATATAACAATATACATATTGAATGTTTATTCATTTGCAGACAACTGAATATTTATTTGAAACAAAATGATACAGGAGCTAGCCACTATCAAAGAGTTCTAACTTTACTAGATCTTCAAGCACAAAATTGAAGCAAGTGGTCTTTGGTGCTCTTTGAACTTGTTTTCTTGCAGGCATTTCATTACCCAAACAAGGTATCATCATCAGTTTGGGTAATGAAATGTCTGCAAGAAAACAAGCAAGCTCGGAGAGCACCAAAGACCCCTCAAATCAATGTGAGTTACAAATAATCTCCTATATTAGGATAAAATTGAAGCATTTGTGTGATAAATTATGGAGAAAATTTTCTGAACAAAAGACCATTCTGTGATATGAACATGATCATGTATTGCTGTTTTCAAGGTAGAAATATTCTATCTGGATTCTGCTCTCAGGTTCATATTCTCTGTGCTTTTTTATTATATTATTATATATATATATATATATAATATATATATATATATTATATATATATATATATATATATATATATAGTGACGAATGAGACTTCGTCGAAACATTGCCAAGAAACCTCCAATTTTACGCGGGAGAAAACCCGAATAACCAAAAGACCGACCTACCTACCTACCTACCTACCTACCTACCTACCTACATACATACATACATACATATAATATATATTCTGAGGTTTTTGCGGGTGTTTGTATGTAGGTCTTTGGTTATTTGGGTTTTCTTCCGCGTAAAAATGGAGGTGTCTTGACAACGTTTCGATGAAGTCTCATTCATTATCTTCAGGCTGATGTTTTCGGCTTCGTGCTTCTAGGAGCAATGTGTGTGATCACAACTGTTTCTTCCTTTTAACTGCCAGTGGGGGTGTGAACTGATTGGGTGGGAGCTTGGCTGTGTTCTGATTGGGTGGAGGTGTGTTCTGATTGGTTGGGGGTTTGGCTGTGCTCTGATTGGCTGGGTGTGTGTTCTGTTTAGGTGGGGGCTTGGTTGTGCTCGGGTTAGTCTGAGTAGCAGAGGGATTTGAGCTGGTGAGCTGTGCTGCTGTTTTTTGGCTTCGTGTTCGTGGCTGTGCCACCTCTTCATGGTGAGTGTCAGTCTGCTTCATGTATGGATTGGGGGGGTTTAAAGTGGCTAATGATGCAGCTGTGGTCTGGCTTCTGGTCCGTGGTCGTGCCTCATCATCAGCGTGGGTTTGAGTCTGCTTTCTGCGTGGATGTGTGGTGGTTACATCCTGTGTGGCTCTCATGAGTGTGGGTCTGGTGTCATTCTTTGTATTAGGGACTCGTTTGTCAATAAGGGCGGGTTTCCAAATGGCTGGTAGGCGGGAGGTATCATCTTGTTTATTCATGCTGTGTGGACGTTTTTCTATCTCGATGGCTTCTCTGATTATTCTGTTGTTAAAGTGTTCAGTTTTGGCGATAGTTCTGGTCTTTTTAAAGTCAATATCATGTCCTGTGGCTTTGAGGTGTTGGACCAGGGAAGAAGTTGCTTCCTCTTTTCTGACTGAGTTCTTGTGTTCTTCAATGCGTGCACTTATTCTTCTGTTGGTTTGTCCGGTGTATGTGGTGGGGCAGGTGGTGTATGGGATTTCATATACTCCTTGATTTTCTAACTCAATTTTGTCTTTGGGGTTTCTTAGGATGGTGGATATTTTTCGGTTTGTGCAGAATGCTGTCTTGATGTTGTGTTTGTGGAGGATCTTGCTGATTCTGTCTGTGGTGCCTTTTACGTATGGGAGGAGGGCTTTGCCGTTTTCTTGTTCTCTGTCTTGGATTTTAGTGGGGGTTTCTTTTTGGATTAGGTTGGTAATCTTATTTCTTTGGAATCTGTTTGGATGTTAGTACGTTAGTGAGAGTGTGTAGTTCGGTTTTTAGGTGT